TTTCTATTAGAATGGTTTAGTTCTTTCTCTTTCCCAATTGTTCTGCTAGGACTTCCAGTACTGTGCTCAAAAGGAGTGACATTTGTCATTCTATTTTGTCCTTGATCATAGAGGGAAAGCTTTCAGCTCTTCACTATCAAGAACTGTGTTGTGGATTCATCATAAATGGTCTTTGTTATGTTTAGGCACATTCCTCTTGTTTATAACCTGTTGAAATCTATCTAGAAGGGATGCTGTATTTTGTCAAATGCTTTTTCTGCAACTATTGAGATGGTCCTATTAATTTATACTTTATTTATCGATTTGATTATGCTGAACTACTTTGAATCCCAGTGAAGAATTCCCCTCGATCATGGTTATCAAACTTGGTTTGTTGTATTTTGTTGAGGATTTTTATATCTTTAGTCACTAGAGATATTGGCCTGTAAGTTAATTTATTTTTGTAATAGCCTTTCTGTTACTTTAGCATCAAGGGAATACAGGCCTTGTAAAATGAGTTTCTGAGTATCGTTCATTCTTTGATTCATTAGATGATGATAATATTTTTTTAGTATTTCTTCTTTACCATCTTGTGGTTATGAGGCACAAACTCAGTGCCTCATGAACTCAAGCCAATAAATTTATCACTGAATTACAACTGCATTCTTTCTGTCTTCTTTAAATGTTTGATAGAATTAAACAGTGAAGGTTTCTGGACCTGGGATTTTCTTTGGTGAATGACTTTATTATTTATCCAGTCTCATTACTTGTCATTGTTCCTCTCTGATTTTCTTTTATTCATGACTCAGTCTTAGCAGGTTGTGTATAACTTGGAATTTATTCATCTCCTTCTTATAGGAGGTAAAGTTACTGACAAGTTACTTAAGTGTCTGGCAAAGACTTACTTTCTATTCCATTTGCAGCTATCATTGTGTTGTGTCTTTATATGACAAATTAAGAGTGAGAGAATTCTGAAGGTTCTTATATAGGAACCAATATCATTAGTCATGACTCCACCCTCAGAACATCATCATTTCCCAAAGGCTCTCTGGTAATGTAACTACATTAAGAGTTAGGATTTCAGTAGAGTGGGGGTGTTACACAAACATTCAATCCATCAAAAATAAGAGTCTGATTGGAGCAATGGAGGGTGTACTTTAGAGATGATAAAAATCAAACACCAACAATTAGGATCTGAAAAAATTATGACAACTGACCTTTCTTAGCAATTTGTATGCCAGCTATAGTTTTGACTCTGTCTTCAAATTTGATTTTTAAAAAATCCGTATCAACTAATAGAAATGCCTGTAATGACATACTGTGACATACAGTCCATGGCTGCTATAACAAATTACCACAAACTTTGGGACTTAAAATAGAAAGATTTACAAACTGGGTATAATTTATAAATCACTATAGTCTTAACACTTAAGAGAAGTTTGAGGTCATCCTCAGCTACCTAGCAAATTTGAGGGCAGCCTGAGCTACATGAAACCCTGCTTTAAAACAAAACAAAACAAAAACAAAAACTAAACAAACAGAAATGTCTTCTTTTATCTTGGAGGCCAGAAGTCTGAAATCAGAGTGTGAATAGAGCCATGTCTCTCTGATGGCCTTAGGGGAGAATTCTTTGCCTCTTCCTAGGCTTTGGTGGTTACTGGAAATCTTTGGTGTTCTTGGGCTTGCCATGTGCCTGTCTAGTCTCTCTGCCTCAGCCTCAGCCTCAGCCTCGCAGTGCTTTCCTGTGTGTTCATTTGTTTTGTATCTTCCCAAGTTGGTCTCTCTGTATGTTTCTGTGTTCCAATTTCTCCATTTTTTATAATATTACCAGTAAGGCACCAGCAAGACTCCTTGTATATTTTTTTATGTACTCGGTGTGTGTTCCTTTTGGGGGACACATCGAGTATTTCTCCTCTACCTGTGGACATGTAACACCTCAAAAACAATATATCTGCTTCTAAAACCCCATAGTGGAAATAGTGTGGGATACACATTCCCATTCTGAAAGGGAGAAAAATGGAAGGACAAAAAGTTTTGTCAGCTAAAGGTTCAAGTTCATCATTTGAACACTCTGTTTTCAGTCAACAGTACAATGAAATGGTTCTCTTCTGCTCAAAAAAGTATCACCTTTCTGCCACTCTCCCATAATGCTTCTTGTTTTCATCAGAGACTGTACCAGAGGCAGTTCATATTTCTAATAACATTCTTCTTAAGGCCGTATAGTCTTTTCAGTACTATCTGTCTCCAAAATCGTAGTATTTATATTACTAGACTACTGTAAAACCAGTTTGATATTTTTAGTATCTGATACAGAAACATGTACATCTCAGTTCAAAAATCTGTATTCATTTTCCAGTATTGCTGTAGCTAACAAAAACTGAGTGTGCTGAAACAGCAGTGACTTACTCTCTCCTATTTCTAGCAGGTAGAAATCTGGATTTGAGTTCATGAAAGGGTCAGAGCCTCTTTGAAGGCTCTAGAAAGAGAGCACTTTGTGTCTTCCTATAGTCTGGTGATTACAGACAAACCTTCCTATTTCTTGGCTCACCAGTACATTAGTGAATCTCTGCCCCCACTGCCACATGATCTTCTTCTGTGTGTCTGTGTGCTCTATATTATCACAAGGTGTTCTCTCTATTTACACCTCTTTCCATATTTTCTTATTCTTATAAAGGCACCAGTCCTTGAATTAAGTCCCACTTGGTTACATCTGTTAAGATAGTGTTTCCAATAAAGTCACATTCATGGGTACCAAAGGTTAGGACTCGAACATAATTTGGGAGGACATACTGTAGGATGTTTGTCTCCTACCGGCCAGTTTCCAAAAACCTACTCGGAGGCTTATATTGATTACAAATGCTCAGCCCATAGCTCAGGCTTATTACTAACTTGCTCTTATATTTTAAGATAACCCATATTCCTTATTGACACTCTGCCACATGGCAGTGCCTTTATTAACATGGCACGTTCATCTCCTGCTCCCCCTGCATCTGCTGGTGACTCCTCTGACTCTACCCTGCCTCATCCCATCAGTCTCAGTTTGGCTTTCCTGCCTACTGTATCCTGTTCAGCTATTGGCCTCTCAGCTTGTTTATTAAAAAAAATCACAGCCAAACATATTCACACAGTGTAAAGCAATATTCCATAGCAACCCACAAGTCAAGCTACCACACCTACAGGACTGGATACATCAAACTTTCCTCACAGAATAAGATGAACATTTCCTTAACAACTGAACCCAAGAAATGTCCTTTATCTGAACCCAAAAAATGATCATTAAATATATATTCCTTTATAGTTACTACATATTCAAGATACCAAGCAGAATTCTTCATTTCTTCTACTTGGTTCTGTAGAGCCTTGTATAGTCCTTAGAAATTTATTTTCACAATGCTATGACTGTCCATTTGAGAATTTCTTTTCTCCAATAGACCAGGTTCCTTGATATATGTGACTTGTTTATCTCCATAGTGCCAGTGCTTATTATGTTAAACAACATCTAGTCAGAGGTTGCTACTAATTTGGAGGGAAGAGAAGGAAAATGGAAGGAAAAAAGATGTTTGTTTACTTATAGCCTTGGGAATTATAAGCTCAGAGTGCTAATGTCAACACTCTCTGCCTTTTATTCTGGTGTTCCTAGGCCTATAGTATTTCAGGTGTCAATATACAATAAAATTCACAAAGCAATCCCAAATTATTAGCTCATCAGAGTAGCTTTTTCTACCAAAAACTTCTGCTTCAGTTAACATGTAACCAGCATGACCATGGAGAATAGAGATCAGAGAGCACTCATAGTTAACATGTAACCAGCATGACCATGGAGAATAGAGATCAGAGAGCACTATGTGCAAGCTATGTCTTGGATGGGTAATTCCAATAAATAGACTAAGTTTGAACTTAAGTTTGAGCCCTCAACAACAACCCCTTTAATGGACTGTTGTCAACTTCTATCTGAGAGAATGTATTGTTCTTTCAAACTCTTACCATTCCTTTATAATACAGCCCATTATAATAACAAGAATTAAAAAGAACTTTATGAGTCTATGTCTAAACTTTTTTAAAAAAAAAAAAGGGCAGAAAAGAAACTGAGATATTCATGGGAAAAGACAGGGAAAGTCCTATGAATATATATATATATATATATATATATATATATATATATATATATACATATACA